AGTAGTAGTAGTAGTAGTAGTAGTAGTAGTAGTAGTAGTAGTAGTAGGACATGTGTTCAAGCTTTTCAGAAGCAGCAGCAGGAGCAGCAGCTCATTACTAGCACAAGAACAAGTGAACCACAAGGACAATACAATGGGAAGAAGAACAAAACAAGCAAGAACAGCATAATAAGACCAACATGTGAAGTTTCCTCAAGTGTCAAGTCGGCGCAGTGTGGATCTGAGTTTGTTCGATGCTGCTCAGGGTCTCCACAGCATTCCCTCACCTGTTGATGCTTTAACAGAGAGCAATTCCCAAGCTCACCCCTCAACAGGATCTTGATCTTAATGTGGTCCTCTCAAAGAAGGGAGGCTTGACTAAACCACATCGCTTTTTACTGCTTCACCATCTGTATACTCGTGAAGTTATTGTATATTAACATTCTATACAAGTAGTTCCCGGGCAAGCCGGCGGCGGAAGTTTCCTATAAGAAGAAATTGACCTATAGGAGTGTCCACGTTCTCTCCAACATGCGCGTCCTCCAGTCAAACGCACGCGCTCCGGACTTGTGCCCCCTGCAGGATCAGCAGCTCACAACAGCGTACTGGGTTGTATCTTTGCCACGACAAGAGGGGTGTATGACGAGTGGTGTATGATGAGTGGTGTATTGACCAGCAGTTGAATGTCCTGTCCTGCATAAATGCAACCAAATACTATCAGTATGAACTGTGCCAAACCTGCACGCCGCGAGAGATGACTCAGCAGCGAGAGATGACTCAGCCGCGAGAGATGGCTATAGCGAGAGCTGACTCAGCAGCGAGAGATAAATGAGCAGCGAGAGATGACTCAGTCGCGAGAGATGACTCACAGCAGCGAGAGCTGACTCAGCAGCGAGAGATGACTCCTCCGCGTACTACACTTGTACTACAAACTGGCCAGTTCTCAGCTTCCAGCTCCACAGGTCAGGTTGTTCCGCGTGCTAAAGTTGTACTAGAAAGTCGCCAGTCAGTTCTCATCTTCCAGCTCCCCAGATGCTCCGCGTACTGCAGTTGTACTACACAGTCGCCAGTTCTCAGCTTCTAGCTGCACAGATTGCTCCGCGTACTAAAGTTGTACTACAAAGTCGCCAGTTCTCAGCTTCCAGCTCTACAGATTGCTCCGCGTACTAAAGTT